GATAATGTTTTATACTCTGAAAGTTTGCGTATAAACTTCTGCTATTAAAGTGAATTAATGATAATTTGTTTTCAGTCTTGACATTACTGTTAAACTGCTCATCCGTGTAATACTTGCAGTTATTTTCAGAATTCTTAAAAAAGTTTTTTTTCAGGGTCAAAATCTTCGTCCGGTTCATGATAATGAATTTCAGTATTTCCAGTTGTGTTCAGTTCCAGCTCCAGTCCCTCAAAAACTATTAACTTTCAGTTCTTTCATGGTAGTTTTTATGCAAGTAATAACTGGAATTAAAATATTAGATGTGAAAGTATTTTATTAGTCCTACTTTACTCTAGTTAGAGAAGCATTGCTACTTCCTGAGCCTCCAGGGTTAAACCTTTGCATGTCACTCACTCCTCTGCAGCTCCAGCAGAATGGTACTATGCATAAGGGAGTTGCCAAGTCATGGATAGAGCGCCACGATGACACCTGAGACCCTCACAAGCTCTCAGCTGTCTGTCAAGGCGGCTGTCCTCCGCATGGTTGACCTGCCGCTGTCCGTCTACAGCTCCCTGACACAGGTGAGGGTGTGTTTAAAAGATCTGTTATTGGGAGCTCTTACAGGTTTTTGTCTCTGGGCAATGAGAGGCAAGTGTTGAGGGCACAACCGCACCTTCAGGTTCTTTCCCCTTTTGTAACTGTATTGCAAATTTGGCTCTGTTTCTCTTTGACTTGGCCAAATATTTCTTATAGCTTTTTGCTAGCAACTAATAGTATTTTAAGCAAATGTATATCAATTTCTTGTACAGAAATACAAGAAAAATTTGAGATTGCATCGCGTACTACTCACAGGAACTTTATACCCTAGTATTTATAATGAATTTAAGAAAATGTGAAGCTACAGGGAAACGCAAACTTTAATTAGGTGTTATTATTTTTTGCACTGCCCAAATAATAAAGGAAACCATCTGCTGTGGAGCAGAATCATTTAACTTCTAGCTCTGCCTCCCTCTGCATGTCCTCCAGGTTAATGTCAGCACAAGCACCAAGAGGCTGGTGGCTGCCACTGCCCTCGGGGCTGTCTCGCTCCTCTTCCTTGCACACCGCTTGCAACGGAAGAAGGGCAGAAAGAAGGCTCAGTCACCTCAGTGGGAGCAGACTGCCTTTGAATTCTCTGCAGCCTTAGCAGAAACCGGTAAGATGTCCTTAGGCAGATTTACCACTGATTAGCATCCTAACGAGAAACGGGGTCAGATGAGCAGTTGGCCAGGGTAGTTCAGTCTTTTGAACATATACAAGATGTTTAACTGAGGATAATTTTGTGTAAGGACAAAATTTATATAGGCTTCCACAGTAACCGGAGATATTTAGTAAAACCAGTTCACTTCCTGTATATGTGAACATCATTAGCCTTTTTATAGTGGATTATAAATACTGACGCTATAGGTAATTCCTAATGCTCATACTGTGTATGAATTAACTTGGAGTATAGCATGTTAAAGGATTACAGGGGAAGTCAAGAACCAGTATTCACCAAAGGCCAGACTGCTGTGTGACCTCGAAGCGTTTTTGCAGTATTTGATTGTTGCCTTGTCCCAAACGTCGTCTCTGCTGGCTCCAGTCCAGTTTTATGCCTGTGTGGAAATCAAAGTAAATCTCTACAAAATGCATATGAATTTGACTTCTATAAATAGTTTGAGCTGGCAATAATTTTTAACTAACAGGAAGTCGCTCTTGTGTTTGTGGTTTAAGTAGAACAGCAACTTCAGCAAATGTATCGGAAAGATTTGCTTAAATGGTCTTATGTTTGAAAGTATTGCGCTGGTCCAAGAATCCTGTTTATTATCTATGCAGATAACACCAGTCAAAACATCACTGTCTCCCTCAACTCTGAGAACGGCTGCTCCTCTGGTCTGCTCCTCACTACAGGAGACCACAGGAAACTGCCCGGGTCCCTGCTGACCTCACTAAGACAGCAGGTATTTTTATCTAAAATAACAAAAGCCAGCAACAAATTGTGATGATAAAATTATGAATACATGACTTTGAAGAAAGACAAATATACACAAGCACTGGTGTCATCACACCTACCGCTGACTTTCTTTTGTCTAAACCAGAATGGAGAAGTTCAGTTTGTTTATATTGTTCAGACCGACTTCATTTCAAATTCATGTGTCAGGTTTTCCAGTCATTACAAATGTACTTGGTGCCAGCTCTCCTATAGATTCAGCTGTAAATAATGAATTAAAGTGCACAAAGATTATTTAGTAATCATGTAAAACCACAGCTTTTCAAGACTGAGTACCAAGCTGCACAAACTACATGCACTCAGTAGTGAAAACGTGGGGTTGGCCTGCATTGCGTTTGCTCCTACCTCTGCTTGAGGGTTAACTGAGTACACTGCTGTCTGTGCAGGTAAAAAGCACGAACTCATCCAGCAGCAGCTACTGCGCAGATGACTCCACCTGCTGGGACAGGGCAGGGGACGCTGGCATCTGCAATGTGGTCAGCTCACCCATCACCACACCTGAAAACCTGTACCTTATGGGTAAATATTCTTACACACCTGTCACCTTCGTGTGTCTATTATTGGAGCAGATAACCACTGTGTTGAAATAATGGAAGCATTCAGTCTGTAATACTGTTTGAATTCCTAGAAATAATCAGATTTTGGTGGGTTGCTTTGTTATCACTTTGGGAGATTCAGAGTCTGTGCATTTGTGTACATGTCTTTATGTCACTATGTGGACAAATTTTTCTTTGAGGCCATCGTTGTGACGACAATTTATCCAGTCCTCATGACTTCACAGAGCTGTTTGAGGGTTAAGACTTGGTTTTAGTGTCCAGGTTAGATGTTAGGTCTAGGTTAGGGTGAGGCCTGGGGTTAGTTATGATGGTTAGTTGTTAGGGTAAGGGGCTAGGGAATGCGTTATGTCATGTCGAGACACGGCTGTGTGTGGTTGTGTTTGTAGGTATGGATTTATTTGAGGAGGCGCTCCGGCGGTGGGAGCAGGCGCTGACATTCAGGAGTCGGCAGGCTGACGATGACGCCAGCTGTGCCTCTGTCCAAACAGGAGCTGGAGATGCCATTGCTGAGCAGAGCAAAGAGGTGAACACACCGGAATACATACAGAGATGTAAAATCCTTTCCTGATTTCACCAGTTTCACTTTAATTTGACACCTGGGGAGCAGGTGTATAGCATTATGATCAGACTTCCCAAAGTGTCCTGGATATTACCATCACATTTGTGCAGGATGTGTGTTGAGTGCTGCAGTCCACACATTGCTGTGAAGAAGGAAGATAACTTCCAGAAAACAAGAATTAACGTCCCCAAGGATGAGCCAGCTTTACAGTTATCATGTGTGTCCTGGTTTTCCATAGGACATCATCAGCGCCGAGTTCATCCACAGGCTGAAGTCTCTGCTGCAGAAAGCTTACCGCCTCCAGGAGGAGCTCGAGGGGGTGTCGGGCATGTCAGAGCTGTCATCCCACAGCAACAGCCAGGGTGAGTCACTGAAAGTATTATGCCATTTCTCATGGCCAGTACAGAAAACCAAGCACTTCCATAGAATATGATCCAAAGCTTTGTGAACTGTATGTGCCAGTGTTGATTCAATTGTGTCGTGATTGTTGCCGATCTAGTTTGTGACAGTGTTACAGCTGCATGATCTCTAATCAGATAAAACGGCAGACATTTTGGCCAGTGAGGAGATGGACGACGCCTGTCTGAGAGACAGCATCAGCATCGCCTCCACGGACTCTTTTGTTTCTGCTGCTGAGGTACGAGGATCACAAGAGTAAATCACTCTGGAAATACCCGCAACCCCCAAATCTGATTATGTGCACCTAGAATTCCTAATATCCTCTAATAGGTTTTTGTCAGTGATCATGTTTTCTATAAAAAAAAAAAGCTCATTTGAGAAACAGTCACAAAACAAAGTTCATGTTTGTGGCAGTAATCATCAAAGTATCACTCAGCTAATGATGAATGAACTCTGCAGCACAGGCTTTTTGGTTCATATCATACATTTTGTTTTAGAATTAGCATTTTCTTCACTTTGTCAGCTGTTAAAAATAAATAGGAGGCATGAGTGGTTCAAACGTAACTGAGAATGTCTCTTATTAACAGTATTTGAGGTTTTCACATGGACCTAAAGAAGCTTTTAGTACACAAAAAATGACTATGGTAATTAATAAAGTAAAATCTGCAGAAGTGTAGATACTTCTTAATCCAACCAAGACTTACATTTAAATAAATGATTCTTCAAGTGAAGATAAGTAAACCCTCAGATTTACCAGTTGCTGACCAGTGAGTGTAAGGTCGTACTCTCAGCAGTTAAACTGGGTCACTCACGTGCCGAGCCACTAAAAATAAACCTGACATTCCTCTGTCAGTAATCACCACACAGCTCACTGTTGCTCTGCAGCTGTTTTCACCAAAGCCTCCACACACGACCACAACACAAAGCGATCGGTGTCTGGTCACCAGTAGTTTTCTCATGCTCTTCAAACTGTGATTTAATGGCAGATATGGGTAAAAGCATGTGATCTAGGACACAATGAGCCTGCATTCAATTAGAACCACACTAGGTGAGCAACGAAATCCAGCTCCAGGCACTTTGGTTAGAAAACAGTTAACTTTACAAGCATCTTTCCTGGTCAAGCAAGTGTTTTTTGGCTCTTTAAAGGGTGTTGGTGTCAGCTCAGAATAAAAAAACCTCTGTTTTTGTAACAGTGTTCAAGAATCACAGGAGATTCAAAAGGACATATATTGATTTGTGAACAAGGAACAGGATTGTGGTTTTATTGTGGAAAGACACTCATTGACTGCAGGTCATTTCAGGCCTTCTCGGTGACTGGCAGTGGCTTGAAATGACATTATTTAATCTCTAACGATCTTTTTCTCTTTCTGTCAGCTGTCAGAGCACAGAGAGCTGAGAGCCATCGCTGTGGGTCACCACCCTTTCTACGAGGAGGCACTGCAGATGGCAGAGGATGGCAAAATCTCCTGCAGAGTGCTGCGGTAAACTAACTGTAATTAGTATAACATACATAAATACAGAGAACCTACATCTCTCTAACATGATCAGTGGAGTTCCTTGATTTATATTTTCTATAGTCTGTTGTCTGCAGACATTTTAATAAGATCTTTCTTGATTTTTCATTGTCAGGACTGAAATGCTGGAGTGTCTTGGGGACTTAGATTTCTTGGCCAAGCTGCACTGTGTGCGGCAAGCATGTCAGGTACAGTCTGTCTTGATAAATTAAAGGTGCATTACTTAAGATTTTACACACTGTGTGATGAAAATGGGACAGGGCGTGGTGACTCTCAACTATACTGCCCCCTCCGGGCTGTGTTTTGTACAGTTTGCTGCAACCAGGCATCTGTAGTTCATGTTGTTTTTAGGAAAGAGGACGTGAGGTGAGGGGCAAAGAGCGGCTGAAAAGAAATTAGGCTGCTTTAAAATAAAGTTTAGTAAATGGTTCCCACTGGTGCATTTGAGAGTTTTAGAATTTTGCAGAAGGCAGATAGTTGCTTTCCTGAGAGGGAAAATCAAGGAGCGTCACAGATTTGAGCTTTGTACACCAACAACAATAAAAACAACCAGGAATTTTTAAAAAGTTAATTCAGTTGTTCAAAGTCATGTAAACGTCAGGAAGTCTGCATCAGAATCACAGTACAAATCACTGAAGTTTACTTTAAGGGTCAGGTTTAGTAAGACACTGTAATGTTATTTTGTCTCCAGCTCATTTTGTGCGAGAGGACGACCAGGATGTTTCTGGCTGACACTGGAAAGAAAATACTGTCTTCCATTATAGTTAAAGCACAAAAGGTGGGACTGAAGCTGCAATTAGCAAATAATAACATGAGACGTCTTCGCCGAGTGTTTCCCCCTAACTATCATCGTTTGTTTTGCAGAGCCCAGAGAGATTCGAGGAAGTCTTTGAAGAGATGATTTTTTTCTTGGAGCACACAGATCACTGGGAAAACACAGAGGTGGAGCTGGCCACACGAGGGGTAAGAGGGATTGAAGTCCTGTCTGACTAGGAATAGACTGCCCTCTCCTTTTTAAGAAAAATAGTTTTTATTTATCCTCACCAGGTGAAGCACCTGAACTTCTACGACGTAGTGCTAGACTTCATCCTGATAGATTCATTTGAGGATCTGGAGAATCCGCCCATCTCCATCCAGAATGTGATCAACAACCGCTGGCTCAACAGCTCCTTCAAGGAAACGGTCCGTGAAGGAAGGAAGGACTTAGATTTGAGTTTCTTTAGTGACCAGTGGATGACAGTCAGCTGGGTGGAGAGAAGCAGATATGACTGCCTTTAAAATGCAATTGCTAAACTCTTCATATTGTACTAATTAGATTATATATGATTATCCAATAAGCTGTAATTTAGAAAACAGAACTGTAGACAGATATTTAGCAAAGGCTAAACACAAGAATATTGAACATTATCTACTATTTTTTCTTTTCCTCATGTCCAATTTGCTCCATTTAATTCTTGACTGTTTGGGCTTTTCATGGATGATTAATCTGCATGTATGTCATAGGCGGTGGCATCAAGCTGTTGGTCAGTGCTGAAGCAGAAGAGACAGCATATGAAGGTACCGTAGCTTCAACTGTGACCACTGGAAGAACATTCAGTTTTGTCCGATTGCTTTACTTCCTGTAAGACACACTGACCTCAGGTGCAGGCTGGAAACCCTTGACTGATTTATTCCCTAATAGACGGTTCCTACTTTTTATTTTGACACAGACAACCAAATAACTACTGTATGTTTATTAGTAGTTTTCCACAAAATAATCAGGGCAGATTCCTTCAGTATCCTCTGCCTTTTGTTTCAGGTGCCTGATGGCTTCATTTCCCATTTCTACACCGTGTGTGAACAGATCAGCCCTGTTCTGGCCTGGGGCTTCCTGGGGCCCAAAAGCACCCTGCATGACTTCTGCTGCTTTTTCAAGGTCAGTCTCTGCACCAGAAACATCAGTCTGTCCGTTTCCCTATTCACACCTCTTGTATAACCACTGTACTAATACTGTCCAAGGCACGTGTCACAAGACATAACCTACATTAATGCAAGGTCGAGCTGAAGCACTTTGTCTATTAACAGAAGCATAATGCGCTCAGCTTTGCTGCTATTTGGGGGGTTTTGGAGCTTATGGTCAAAACAAGACATTTCACTTTCAGCTCAGAGAATTGTTGTTGATGTTTTCATAGACTAACCTGGAAGTTGGCATCACTCTGGTTCCCTCAACAAAAACCCAACAGGATTTTTCCACAGGCTTTTGGATTACTGCAGAAAATAAGATCTGTGACAAACAATGGTTTGTCACACATTTTGTTCAGCAAGATAGTGAACATCACTTTTATTACAAATACAACCACCAGAAGTAAAAACTATCGTTAGGCTATAAGCGAACTATGTCACAGTCCCATGACTTCAGCGTCACCACCACAGCTTCCAACTTGTAATTTGATGTAGCCCACTCACCTGTTCTACTTGGTGTGACCTGATCTAGCTAGTGATCATGGCTGTCAGTTTGCAAGTACACGAGTTTAAAAATAACGTCCAGTCCTGAATCCAATCGAGAATCTGTGGAAAGAACTGAAAACTGCTGTTCACAAACGCTCTCCATCCAACCTCACTGAGCTCGAGCTGTTTTGCAAGGAGGAATGGGCAAAAATTTCAGTCTCTCGATGTGCAAAACTGATAGACATACCCCAAGCGACTTACAGCTGGAATCGCAGCAAAAGGTGGCGCTACAAAGTATTAACTTAAGGGGGATGAATAATTTTGCACACCCAATTTTTCAGTTTTTTATTTGTTAAAAAAGTTTGAAATATCCAATAAATTTCGTTCCACTTCATGATTGTGTCCCACTTGTTGTTGATTCTTCACAAAAAAATACAGTTTTATATCTTTATGTTTGAAGCCTGAAATGTGGCAAAAGGTCACAAAGTTCAAGGGGGCCGAATACTTTCACAAGGCACTGTATTACTTTCGCAAGGCACTGTACTTGCATATCTTGTATCGTAGAACAAAAAGCAAAAATGCACTGGCTTCAGGGCGAGGGAGCTGGAAGAGCAAAAGTGCTAAATTAGTTCCCGGTTTTAGGACTCACTACGACATTCAACTGTTTTCATAATAAACACCTTCAAGAAAGCTCTAGTTTTGTAAAATAAACATGAGCTCAACCAATTCATCAGGGTTTTTTTTTTTTTTTTTTGAAATGTTAGCATGGAGAGGACGCATTGATAAGTTTTTCTGCTTTGCTGGAGCTTCTTGTATAGTCACCCTTTCTTACTAAAATCAAGCTACTGACCTCAAGTTCAAATGTAGTTTTTAATCCACTGGCTCACTGATCACGCTTGTTTTTCCAGGATCAGGTGCTGTACTTCCTGAAGGACATTTTTGACGTAGACAAGGTGCGCTACACCTCAGCAGACAGTCTGGCAGAGGATATGCTCCACCTGCTGCACCGGCGCTCTGAACTGCTGCTGGCCTACCTGGGAGCAGGCTCCCTGCGGCACCTCAAGAGCTGCAGTTCTCCCCAGGTCCAGCTGGTGGCCAGCAGCCTGCTGGAGGCACGAGTGCAGTGAGGTCATCAAACACTACCCACACACAAATCTCTGCATTTACTTAGTTCATGCCAACGGTCGGACCAAATGAAACTCTGTAGTTGTGTGTGCATCCTTCCAGGTTAAAGCTGACACCTATTGAGTAATACACACACTATTTTCACATATCCCATCATACCCTGTGCTCTCATTACCAAGGAGCCATATAAACGCTATCAGCCGTTTTACCTTCACTGGTGTGCGTCTCTTCCTCCTCCCCCCAGCCTTTTCACCGTGCCATGAAGGTGTACGTTAGTTTTAAAATATCATAGCAATAATACCTGTAACTTAGACTCGGTGTGAGTCTATGTGAGCGTGATCTCTGGTGTGCGTCTCTTCCTCCTCTCCCCAGCCTTTTCACCGTGCCATGAAGGTGTACGTTAGTTTTAAAATATCATAGCAATAATACCTGTAACTTAGACTCGGTGTGAGTCTGGCATTGAGGCTCCTGCAGTAGCTGTATTATGCTATGTTAAGACATTTATTGCTGTGAAGATCTATGTGTAAAGACAAAGATGGTATTTTACATATTTATTTTATTATAGAGCTAAATGTTGCCGCAGTGTGTATCAGTGGATTTGAGATCAGCTTCAAACACTAGTATAAATGCCAGTGTTGTGTAATAAACTCAGTTTATGTATTTCCTCAACCTACTGAATATCAGTGCAAACCTACTACATGTATGTTGTGTTTAACTTGCAAGTGTTGATGAAAAGGACTCTGATGTGTCAGCTGGAGTTGAGCCACAAAAGAAAGCTATTAGACATTGATCTGTCACTACTCTTACTTGAAAAGAAATATCTTGAGCACCAGGACTTTAACTTGCAAGTGTCCAAGTGTTGATGAAAAGGACTCTGATGTGTCAGGTGGAGTTGAGCCACAAAAGAAAGCTATTAGACATTGATCTGTCATTACTCTTACTTGAAAAGAAATATCTTGAGCACCAGGACTCTGTCCTTCACACCCTGTTCAAATGAATGTCAGCAGACGCAGCCTACTGGAGCCCTAATCCTACCAGCTCCAGGAAGACGCAGTTTATACAGCAGTGTTGTGTAACCTTCCTGTTGTTTAGCAACTTGTGCCCCTCAGTTTTTCAGGTGCGCATTCACTGTTTCTGTGCAAATAAAGACTGGAATGAGTTACTGTATCTTTGCTTTTTTTTAATTTAACATGATTTGAGTAAAAAAAAAAAAAAGTGATCATTCAGTCCAATTTACTTGTTACAACTTTATTAATGAACATGGCAACATCTCAAAAGTCATAACAGTTCATTGAAAAGCCAAAAACCAATCAACCTGGTAATATACACAGCACATGAAACCTTTTTACCTCTAAGGCATGCTCCTTTAGTCTTCTACAGTGTTGAAACACTGAGCATCTGTGTGGGCATGTACATGTTGAACAGCCTCAAACAGCATAAGACTTCAAAGAGATTTTAAACTAACCCCAAAATTACTGCCAAAAAAAAAAAAAAAGTGTATATCAGTTCCTGTCCTCATCCAACTTTCTAAAGCACATTCCTGGTTATTGACGAAGGCATTCACACAAGAAACCATCAGATACTAAATTCACTATGGCATGGTTTTAAAAAAAATAAAGGATCCGAGCTGAAAAACATGTATCTGACCAACACTTTTGCAATCACAGAATTTTCAGTTTCATTGCGTTGCTGTTTTACCTTATCACTGGAGCTCTTGAACGGGCCTACATTCAGCAGTGGGACTGACACAAAGGATCCCTCCTTTGGGGGACAAACTACGACAGGGCCTGACTCTACGACCTAAGCTTGCAGCATCCTCCAACACTGTGAGCGAGAAGTGAAGGCAGCAGCGTTTCAATACAAGATTTGCACTGCACTTGAGGGCATACGACACAAAAAAAGATATTCAGTGATCATGTATTTCAACGTTTCTGACCTAGCAGTTGAGCACATTGCTAACTTCTGGCAACAGGTTTGCATGGCATGCAGTGTGTCAAAGTTGTCTACAGCATCGATATACAGTCACTGTCAGACTTACCGGGATGCAAAGACAAGGCTATTATCAAAAAATTAAGCACATACGACAACGACATTTCCTCAGTGAACCTATACAACTTTATCTGAGTAGTCACTTTTTGAAAAGTCAAACTTCATGTCAAGTCATACAGCTCACATCATGCGGTTCATTCATTCTTAAAGGGCTTTTCATACTAAAGTATCCTCAACATGTCTTCACAACTACGTATATAAATTTTGAGGCATGGTAACAACACAGGTAAGCATTTTTATGCATGTATATAGTGTCACTGGACAAAAACACTGGTTTCCTTAGGTTTCGCTTACCTGTGTTATTTGCAGCAGAACCTAAGGTGAAAGGTCTGGGATGACACTGCAAAGATCAGATATATTGCACTATTTGCCATCAGTGAACAATGCAGAGATTGTTTTTGATCTTTATATCAACAGCCTTTCACAACAGCGCTCATTCAGTAAATATCAGTCAGGACTGAGCTAGTCACTTCCACTACTGGCATTCCACATGCTCAGAGGATATTAAAAGAGATTATCAGCAGAAACCTAAGCATGCTACACTGGAGTTAATGCAGTACGACTGTTCTAAGCAATATGTTGCAATAAATGGCATTTAAAAACATGTCTCGGCTAGACAACAGCACATGGCAGGTCAGATATTCAAAACGCAAAAAAGAAAAAAAACCACATGGACATCCTTAAATCAGTTCCTACCAGCAAAGAAACAGTGCTGACATTCAAACCCTCAGTTCAAGAAACCACCTGGCACTGAAATGCTACCTACACGAATGGTCTCGAACAATCTACAACATACTGTGAAAAGTCTGAATGATATGCAGTCAGAAGTCACACAAGGGAAATAAATCTCAGAAACATGTGGTACAAGAATCATCAAACACTACAGGACTAAAGCCTCTCCTCAAAACATGTCATACTTACCCAAGGAGGGAAAAAATTTGCAATATTTGTCAAAAATACTTTTCTTTTGCAGTTTATAAAGCACAAAAAAGGCGTTTATCTCTCACAAGTGAATCAGTTTTGTACTTACATTACAGGAGGGCTCAACTGATGGATGACGACTGCTTAGCCACCCGCGGCCCTACAACATCTATGTTCTTATACTGGATAAACACTAACAGAATGGGCACAGCAAAGACGACTTTTGCAATGTTTTATATTAAAAAACATTTTTCAAAAACAAATTTATACATTAAAGTTAGTTGACAACTGGAAAATGGGCAAGACAAATGTTTCAATGCATTTGCGATACAATTTATCTCACTGTCCTGGAAAAAGAACAGCACAAAAAAATATATATAAAACACTACAAATATGCAACATTTCTTGCAACCACGTTTTCTGAGGAACATATTAAGAAAAATACTTGCTTACCGCTTTTCTAAACTTGCCTGTGGAGGAGGAAGTGTCTATCAGGGCAGAATACAGTGCATACTACCTCGACAATGTCAGCAAACCAGGCATTAGAGTACCACAGCAACGCAGATAATCACTCACGATACCTGTCAACTTTCTCATGACAAACATCTGCCTACTGCTAAAATCAAAGCAATGTCAAGAAACAGGAAGTGTAATTAAAAAAAAAAATTGTCTAACAGGAGGGCGTTTGCTGGTCTGAACCATTCAGGATCACTGCACGCACATAATGCATCTAGGAGCGTTATAGACAGTTGGAGAGAGACAGGACATCGACCACTTTGGACAATCAAACCCACACGTGGCCTACGTTTCAAACCTTTCCACCCCCCCCCACCCCGGTAAAACACGTACAGAAATTCATCTGAACCCCCTCTGGTTTCACCCCAACTTACCAACACAGGAGGTTTCAGTTTGTTTTATTGCAAAAACACAACAGGCAATAATAGCATTTTAAAACTGAGATGATTTTACATGGTAATGTCTACAGTTCAATAAACATGAGTTCTAACCACATTTTATGTAGATACAGGGCTGGAATGACCATATGTATAATTACCTCACTAAAAACAAAGCATTTACAAGCAAAAAGAAAAAAAAAAAAAAAAGAAAGAGGACGTGTTCTCCGGGAAATCTGCCATCTATGTGAAACACTTTGAAACCAAGGAAATTTAAGATCTTCATCAAGGCGTCTGCATCCAAACATTTAACAAAGGATTTTGTTTCGACAATGTAGCATTTACTTTATGTCCACTTCACATTACTGGCCCTGTGCAGAAGAAATACATAGAAGATACATTGCATGTTAACAGCAGAAACAGTGGACTCAGCTTCCCAAAATAAAAAGCTAAAAACCTGTGTAGGGAGGAAATGGTTGTGGTTAGGTTTGTGAAGCTGCTGCAGCCACTGGAGCCCTGTGAACGCCTGGAGAAGGAAGGGGGTTATGGTACAAAAACCGTGCAAGTGAATGTGGAGGCCAGATTCTTAGCGGGGGTGTACCTGAGGGGCTTGTGGCGCTGCGCCCATCGCCTGAGGGTTGGCTGTGCCGTAGTAAGCGGCCTGCTGCCGGTAGTACTCTGCCCAGGCAGCGCTGTAGTCGGGCTGGCCTCCGGGCTGGGAGGCTGCTGCTGCTGCTGCTGTAGCCTGAGGGGCTGCCTGACCTGCAGGGGACAGAGTGCACACAAGAAAACCTGTTTAAATGGCTAACACCCATTATGAGCAAGTGTCATCCTGTTTGAACCTCGATAGAGTGGAGAAAGGGAAAAGGCGGGCAGGTGTTACGGTCCTGTTTTAGTCAACCAGGGTCGCGTCCACCTTCTACTGCCTCTTCTATTTTTCTTTTTGGCTGTTCTTCCAAATGAAACACTGCACACACAAGTGCAGCTGTAACCAAATGCTGCTTTCATTTCTGCTCCATTTGTCAAATCTTTTTCTTGCAACTTCCCACCAGGAGCACAGTGACTAACTAAAACTCTGGCTGACTACTGACACATTGTGTTGAGATGTGAGAGGGTGTCAGACGTTTCTCAGTCTAACCATAGTGTTCTAGTGTAAAGCCAGCAGTCGTTTTGACATTGCTGGAAAGCAACACTGAACACAGTGCTGCTTTTTCCAGCTGAAACCATAATGCACACCACTGTATTGAAATTTTCATGTTGCTGTGCACTCTGAACTTAAAAGAATAGAAATATATAACTAGAGATTAACAAAAAAAAAAATTTCTATTTGTTGACAGTAACCTGTTAGACC